AGTTTTTCCACTCGCCAACTCGCACACATGTCAGACTCCTTGGTCCGTGTTTCAAGACGGGTCGAATGGAGAGCCCACAAGTCAACGACCTGAGTACGCAGGTGCCGAAGCACACGCGGGGCGCGCACTACTTCCCACAATACAAGAGACGGCATTCCCCTAGCATATCAAATGCCCAAGCTTCAACCGCCACCTGAATTCTCGCTGATCCACACCCAGAGCCTATCAGTAGACCGGCTAACCACCGTTCCACATCCAACCTGGGCCTATCGCCGGTCTCCATCCGCTTCCCTCTCGACAATTTCAAGCATGTTAGTTCTCTGGGTTAGTTACTAAGGGGGAGAGCTTTTTTTTATTTTGTTTATTCTTTGTTGGCCTTATCCTTGTGACAAAAACAAATAAATAGGAATGTTTGTTTGTACGTACGTAGTAGCTGGTTGGGTGTAGAGTCATGCCATGTCACGCATATGTTTCCGTATACAAGTGGAAGATGATCCGTGATCCCTACGAAGCTAAAATAGAGACCCATGCAGTCTAGGAATGTCAGTTGCCGAAGAGTTCAAGTGCAGATATAACTAGGGCTCATATGTTCCTATATAAGTATAGATATGATCTCACGTTGATGATTGGAGAGAGTACGCAGAAATACATCCAGCGACAAATTGAGAGAGCCACAAACCCTAGCTGCAAAAGGAGATCAGAAGAGAACCATATTCGGTTCTTCCTGATATATGGTGCTGTTGTGAGCACAAGAAATTTCTGGCCGGTTCGTAGATCATATTGCAGATCCATATTTGGTTTTGATGAAAACCACATCCAGCTGGTGAACTAAGAAGTGCTGGAGAAAGGGCTGTCAGCACGTCCAATAACAGAAGTTATCGAGGTTGGTGTAATATGCCATTGGGAGAAACACTAACAGAGTTATGTGTTTAAGTCATCTGTAATAGATTAGTTCAATCCACTAACTGGTACCTACGGTGGTTGAAGTTGTAATCTTTGCAGTGATTTAGTGGACGGGCTATTACACGGACGTGGGCCCCGCAGAGTAGGAGAATTGCTCCGAACTGCGTAAACAATTCTTGTGTCTGTTTTACTGTTTTTATTTCTCTTGCTGCATGTGACTGGTTGTGACAGAGGGAGTGTTTTAGCACTTTGCTTATCACAACGATATAAGTGTGTGTGTAATAGACTAGAATTGTTCACAGAGAATACTTCCCCCTGTGACCAGAATCAGTACAACAATTTCATTTGGTATCGGAGCCAGGTTAAGCTTAAGTTACTAGCTTGATCAACAATGGGAGACATGGAGGAAGGTGCTAATGTCCAACGACCACCACTGTTAAGAGGACCAAACTATAATTTTTGGAAGGGACGCATGAGAGCCTTCTTAAAGTCTCAAGGTGGAAGAGTATGGAGAAGCATAGAGACCGGATGGACAGAACCCACAGAGACCAACGCAGAAGGAGAGAAGGTGGCAAAATCTTTTGAGAAATACTCAAAAGAAGAAGCAACACTGGCTGAATGCAATGATAAGGCACTCAATGCACTGTTTGGGGCAGTTGATAGCTCACAGTACCGACTCATTTCAAATTGCACTGAAGCAAAGAAGGCCTGGGAGATCCTTGAAACCACTCACGAAGGAGATGAACGAGTAAAAACTGCTAAACTACAGATTCTTGTGACTAAATATGAGAATCTGCGTATGGATGAAAAAGAAAAAATAGCAGAATTTCATGGGAGAGTAAGAGAACTGGCAAATGAGGTTGAGAATCTGAAGAGGCCCTTCACAGAGGATAGTCTAGTGTTGAAGGTGCTGAGAGCTTTACCCGAGAGCTATGCAATGGATGCCAAAGCCATTCGCCAAGCACATGACATAAAGAACATGACACTTGATCAGCTGATGGGAAATCTTGAGACCATTGAGCTCCAAATGAACGAGGAAATCAAGCAAAAGAAGAGTGTCAAACAGATTGCATTCCATAGCCACACTACTGAAGAAGAAGAAAACGATGAAGACCCATCAGATGGAGATTATCAAGAGCAGTTGTCCCTCATCACCAAACAATTTAAGAAGCAATGGATGCAGAAAAAAGGAAGACCAAATTATCAGGCTGAGTCCTCAAAAGGGTTTCAATTTAGAAATCCAAGGCCAAAGGATAGCAGGGTATCAACTGATGACTCCAAACAGAGAGGTCCTCAATGCTTTGAATGTGGGGGCTTTGGACATATTTAATCAGAATGCGCCAATAACCTCAAAAAGAAACGGCAAGCCGTCGTAACAACCTGGAGCGATGAAGAAGATGATACTGAGGAAGTCCTAGGAAACAGCAACTGTGCATTCACCACACTAGTTCACAATGAAGACTCAGATAATCTCACTAATCAACTTGAGGTGCTTCAGAAAGAGGTGGACAGCCTTCGCAGAAAACTTGATGAAACCATGCAGCAACTGGAACAGATTGAAGGGGAAAAAGCGAATCTAAACTATGAACTCACTCAACTGAAGAGCTATCAAAAGTGGATGAAAAGCGTAGGTGCAGAACAAATCGAGAGTCTTATAGACAAATCAAGGTTTTATGGAGACAGAACTGGCATTGGGCACACACTACCAACAAGCAGTAAGACTCCGCTTGATCTGTTTGTAACAAGATCAAAGATCTCTGAAGAGGAACTGGCAGAATATAGCAGAGACAAGAAGGAAGCAGTCCAGTCTAGCCACACTCATGTAAGGAAACACTTCTTTTCTAACTATTATTGGAATTATATTTGTTTCTACTGCAGGAAAAAGGGACACATTAAAAGACAGTGTCACCAGCTAAAGAACAAAAAGAGGAATAGGGGTACGGCAAAAGGCTTCACAAGAACCGTGATGAAGTGGGTACCAAAACACATGGCTTCAAGCGCCAACTCATGTCTTAAAGTCACACCAGACCAATGGCTGCTTGATAGTGGGTGTTCTCATCACATGACTGGAGATAAACAGAACTTATTGAACATTCAACCATTGGAAGGAGGGAATGTACGTTTTGGTGGCGGTGCACATGGACAGATCATCGGGATTGGAACACTGCATGTCTCAGGGCTACCACCAATCAAAAATGTATGGCTGGTCCAAGGGCTAGAGGTGAATCTGCTAAGCATTAGTCAAATCTGTGACCAAGGACTTGAAGTGGTGTTCACTCAACAAAAGTGTCGTATCAAGGACAGAAACAAATTCGTTGTCTTGGAAGGTGACAGGACCACAGACAACTGTTACAGAGTCACTCCAAATATACTTTGTTACACAGCCAGTGAGAGAGATGCAAAATTGTGGCACTATAAACTTGGGCATATGAACTACCAGGACCTTAAGACCTTGTCTGGTTCAGGAGCAGTTCGAGGAATGCCCAAAATCACTCAGATTAATGAGCAAGTGTGTGGACCGTGTCAAATGGGGAAACAAACACGAACAAGTCATCCTCAGAAACCTACAAGATCAACAAGTTGTCCTTTGGAGCTCATGCACATTGATCTTTTTGGCCCCATGCAAACTGAGAGCCTGGGTGGAAAAAGGTTTGTTCTCATGGTCGTAGATGACTTCACAAGGTATACTTGGGTCAGTTTTTTAAAACACAAAGATGATGCACTAAATGCCTTTGAAGCATTGTTCAACAAAGTTCAGAATGAGAAACAACTGAAGATTAAAAAGGTCATCAGAGTGCGTAGTGATCACGGAGGAGAATTTGACAATGGACCTTTCGAAGAATTTTGTGATCTGCATGGCATGTGGCATGAATTCTCAGCACCAAAAACTCCACAACAGAACGGGGTGGCAGAAAGGAAAAACAGACATGTTCAAGAAATGGCATGCACGATGATCAGCTCATATGGATTGCCACAAAATTTGTGGGCTGAAGCAGTTCATACAGCATGCTACACAATCAACCGTGTGTACTTTAGGAGTGGAACAATGGCTACACCCTATGAACTTTGGAAAGGGAGGACACCAAGTGTTGCTCATTTTCACATTTTTGGAGCAAGATGCTACATCTTAAGAGACAGGGAACAGAGAGGGAAGTTTGAGCCAAAGAGCGACGAAGCCATTTTTGTTGGATACTCACCAAATAGCAAGGCCTATCGAGTATACAACAAACGAACAAGAACTATAATGGAGTCAATAAATGTTGTGGTAGATGATCAGCTCCAGCCCAAGGCACCAGATGATTCACTAGAGGTCAATAACACGGAAACAACACCTGAAGAAGACACTGAGGATGAAGAAGGTGGAAAAGATGTTTCAGCAGATACTCAAACTGAGTGTCCCATAACCAGTAGTGTTCCCACACACATACAGAAAAACCATCCTCTGGAAAACATCATAGGGTCACCCACTGAAGGAATGAAGACACGGAAGAAGAAGATTGACTTTCTATAGATGACAAAAGCATATTATACTTCATCCCTGGAACCCAAAAACATCAAAGAGGCACTGACAGAAGAAGCTTGGATAAACGCCATGCATGAGGAGCTAGAGCAGTTTGAAAGGAATAAGGTATGGGAACTGGTTCCAAAACCTGAAAACACAAACATCATTGGTACAAAGTGGATATACCAAAACAAAACAGATGAGGCAGGAAATGTCATCAGAAACAAGGCCCGTCTAGTTGCCCAAGGATACACACAAATGGAGGGGATTGACTTTGAGGAAACATTTGCTCCAGTGGCTCGCCTTGAGTCTATTCGCATGCTCATAAGCATGGCATGCATATTAGACATGAAATTATACCAAATGGATGTCAAGACTGCATTTCTAAATGGATATCTAAAGGAAGAAGTATATGTGGCACAACCAAAAGGATTTGAAGATTCCAAGCACCCTGACTACGTTTACAAACTACACAAGGCACTATATGGACTGAAGCAGGCACCTAGGGCATGGTACGAGCGATTAACTTCCTACCTAATCAAGGAGGGATACAAGAGAGGGGGAGCAGACAACACCATGTTCTACATATGGCACAAATCTGATTTACTGGTGGCACAAATTTATGTGGATGACATTGTGTTTGGATCCACCTCCAAAGCAAAGGCTGATGAGTTTGTCAACGTGATGGAAAAGGAGTTTGAGATGAGTATGATAGGCGAATTGACGTTTTTCCTGGGGTTGCAGATAAAGCAAACTGATGAAGGCATATTTATATCTCAGACCAAATATGCGCAGAACATGTTGAAGAAATTTGAAATGAGTGACAGTAAAAGTGCCAGAACACCGTGTCCAACACACGAGAAAATCAGCAGGGATGACAATGGGAAGGAGATTGATGCTACACGCTACAGAGGTATCATAGGAAGTCTACTATATCTAACAGCAAGTAGACCAGATCTTTGTTACAGTGTTGGAGTGTGCGCTAGATATCAGGCAAATCCCAAGGAGTCACATCTCAAAGCCGTCAAAAGAATACTAAAATATGTCAAAGGCACTCAAAACATGGGGTTATGGTATTCAAAAGGAGGAATGGCAGAGCTTATGGCCTACAGTGATGCTGACTGGGCAGGTAATATAGATGACAGGAAAAGCACATCAGGAGGTTGCTTCTTTCTAGGAGGAAATCTTGTAGCATGGTTGAGCAAGAAACAGAATTCTGTGTCACTTTCCACATCAGAAGCAGAATATATAGCGGCAGGTAGTTGCTGTGCACAACTATTATGGATGAAGACCATACTTAGTGACTACGGTATAAACCATGACACCATTCCGCTATACTGTGACAATACTAGTGCAATCAGCATATCCAAAAACCCAGTGTTGCACTCCCGAACCAAACACATTGACATCAAGCATCATTTTATACGGGAACTTGTTGAGAAAAAAATTGTGAGTTTGGAACACGTGTCCACAGAGGAACAACTCGCTACAATCTCAAACCTAATCCCAGAAAATATCAGAAATCTCTCAAAGAAACAACAAGAGATGGTGCGTACCAAGATCGCCGTTCCTAAGCAATGGAAGAAGGAACATGCAACACAGAAAAGAGCAAGTCTAATTCAGAAGTTTGCTCAAGCTAGAGCAAATCTGAGGGCGAGAATCTCACGAAATGATGAAGGTTCATCTTCCTTGAAACAAAATCCAGACATTGAGACTGCCATGGAGCATGAAGAAGTTCAAAGGGCATCGGAAGTTGAAGAATTGTTAAAGGGAGAGCAAGATAAAGCACCACACAACTCAGATCTCCCAACCGTCATGTTACTAGAATACAAATCTTCAGCAACCCACAGGGAACAGCCCCAGATTACAGAAGTAGACGAAGAGTTCCACACCCTACTGGATGAAGAACCACTGATAGCAGTCTCTGAAGAACCTTTCAAGAATGCTGAAAACCAAGATAGGACCCCTCAGAGCTCCAAGAAGAAGGCAAAACAGACTGGTCAACACCCTACTCGTTAGTCAAAACGAAAAACCAGATCTGAGGCAGTCATGAAAGAAGAGTCATCTCCATCACCCAAGAAGACCAGAACAAGCTCCCCAAGTCCATCCAAAGTCTCAAAGTCAAAAAGGGGTAAAGATTTGAATCATCACTCAGGGAAGTCCTCAACTCACACTTTTGTCAATACTGCTGCTAAATCTTATTTGCCTACAATAATGAAGAAGCACATTTTGCCCCAACGAAATATTGATCTGGAAGACTTTGCTTTGAAAACCACACTCATCCCCCTGTTAGATGCTAGGAAGTTGTTGAAATCTGTCACTATTCCCGGCTCTTATGTCAAACAAGTTATCCATGAGTTCTATTGCAACTTGAATGAAGATTTTGTGTATCCTGCTGCTGAGTCCTTTGAAAAAGTGTTTGTCAGAGGAAAATTATACACTTTTTCATCTACTGCTGTTAACATGTTCTTGGGATTAGATGATGTTCAGGATGCATTGGTAAGTGAGGCCACAATGTGGAAAGAACTCACTCACGGAACCCGGAAAAGCCAACACCCCTCCAACAAAGTTCCCTCGTCAATCCTGAATAGTTCCTACTCCATCTTGCTCAGGGTTGCTGCATGTCACTGGCTAGCCACATCCCATATCAACACAGTGACAAAAGTCATGGGCATGCTGTTGTACAAGATCAAAAACAATGTTCCTGTTAATCTAGGAAAGCTGATTGTGGCTCAAATAGCTGAGTTTGGGAAACACAACTATAAGCACAATGATAATGGTCTGCCCTTTCTTGTGCTAATCTTTCAGATGCTTGTCTCACAGGGTTTTAACAAGAAGGATGGTGAACAAGAGGAGCCTTTGGAGCCACTGCTGCAGGTTGACAACAGACACTTTGATGGAAAGCACTTCAATGACATGAAGGTAGCTGAGCAGGCAACACATGGAGTGCCAGGTGTATTCAAGTATCTGCAACAAAAACTGTAGCAAAACAAGGAAGCACTTCTCATGGTGGACCAACAGAAGAAAGTTCTTGAAGAAGAGCGACAAAGTCTCATTTGGCTGCAAGAGAATGCTGCACAGAATGCTCAAGCAGAAGGTTCATCATTTCAGGGGGAGAGTTCAGAGGAGGAAGAAGACACTGCAACAGATACCTCAACATGAGGGGATAATTCTTACAAACTCTTCTCAAAGCTTAAATTTGACGTTCATTTTGATTGGGTTGTTCTGCCCTGTTTCTGGTTTGAAGACATATTGCACTGCTGTTATTTTTTTGCTATGACTGGTTTGTCTCTTGGATGGTTCAAAACAAGATTTATCTACATTTGTGCCTGCATTTGATTCTCTGTAGTTTCGTTTCGCTATTCTTGTGCATCTCTGTGACATGGTGTAGGTACATTCCTCAGCCTAGATTATAGATTTTCTAGCTTGTCTTTTTGTACCTCTCTTGCTCAGGTGTTGGATGTTACTCTTCTCTATTCCCATATTTGAATAAACTTTGGCTCCTTTTTGAACAAAAAAGGGGGAGAATGTTGAAACACGGGCATGTCACGTTTTCGTACTAAAGCCGTGTTTGTTTTTTATGACAGGTTTTGATAATGCCAAACCGCCGTGATCAAGTCAAACTTTGAATATACAAGGCGAAGAAGGAAGACAAGAACAAGAGCTAAAAGAAGACCAAGAACGAAGACCTTAGTCTTAGTGTCGTTGAGTCGGTCTTCATTGTGATCAAGACCGACCCAATCTTTACACCTTGGCTCTTTAGGCTAAAATCTT